ACATTAAATTATATCGACCGTTCTATCGACTCAAATAAAGATTAATCGTTTTTTTTCAATTTCTTGTGTTTTTTTCCTGTACCTCTTAAGACAATCACCCGTTACAACGTATTTTCCATAGTTTTTCCATATAGAAATGCATACAACTGCGCCACTAGTGAAATTTTGAGGATATATCGTTTTTCCCCCATTTATTCAAAAATTGTCAGCGTCTTGCCGCCACCTACCACCCCCACCCGTCGCCTGCCACCTCAGAGCCTTAGATGAACTATGCTTTACCTACACCTTCACCACCTCTATAGCGACTAAAACATTAATATTATTGAAATTGTTTTACTCCGCATCAAGAAACAAAACAAGTGACAAGTCTACTTGTGGCGTTGGGACGCTACTATTTCTTTTTTGTTGGGTTTGAACTGTACACATGAAAAATTATTATTCCAGTTGAAATCGAATTCGTTTAACTTGTTTCCAAATCATAAATAAGATCATTGAAAAAGTCCTTATTCTTATTGTAAACATTCTTTTTAACAAAGCCGATAAGAATTTTATACGTGCCAGAAAAAATTAAGATTCCACGAACCTACACCAGCTTGAGCTTTGGTAGATATCCACAATATATATACAATGAGGAATTTTTGAAGAAGTTGATCTTTGGACTGGACCTTATCAGCTACGCCACTGTGGAGATGATATATCTCATTTTGCCTTGACTGGCCTTGCTGGCTGGTGTTTATTTATCTCTCCGCACGCTTTTATTAAATTGGAGGCCGAATGAGGCCTTTGAATATCCAAAGACGCCAAAAATGTAAAACAATATAATTCGCTTTAAGACTGATGTAAATTCAAGAAATTATAGTAGCACTTGTATATTTAAAATCAACTAACATTTGTTGATGAGCTTCTAGAGTCGAATAAACTTTCCATCAAAAATTTCGTTTCCACAACCTTTTTATCTTAGTCAATTTTTTTTCACATCGTCGTTTATTTTGTTCATTATACGGGGCCGATGAAAAAGAAAAGTATTGCCCAACTCTAGAGCACGCTGTATAATAAATATTTAAGGATCAGAAATAGGTGAAATTCATTATTTTGTTTCTCAAGTGTGAATAGTATTTTTTTGACTATTTTTTTCCTAATTAATATGTCATAGAAACGTATCATAAATAAGATGAATACAAAGTAATTTTTATAAAGTTTTGTTTTTCCTTATAGGTACAATACTTGACCTCCCGGTTCTAGCAGGAGAAGTCTTTAGAACAAATTATTAGGCTAACAAATAATTAGGCTACTATAAGAATGCCATATTTCTAGGTTGGTTTCGGCCAAACTAAGCTGGTTCAGAAATTTCGGTTTCGGTTTAAAAAAATGTTTTGCTGTTAAATTTTGGTGAATGCGTTTCAAATATCTAATAATGCCATCACATTCCCATTTTTAACCGGTGCCCAGGAAGTTCAAATTCATTGCAGCATTATTTTTTCATAAAGTAGGTGAGTATACAGGGTGTTTCAGTTTATTGTTGCATAACTTTAAGATTCAATAGAACTTTTAAAATTAATGCATAAAGTCTATATAAACATGGGTCGAAAAAGGCGTGGTTTCCGAAATTTACTTTTTAAAATAGTTTTTTTTTAAATATTCGAACAATATTTGATGTATAACAGTGAAAATTGGTATACAAGGGTTTTTGGTACGACAAACGAACCATGGGCAGTTTTACTGTAGCCACTAGAGGGCTCTCCTACTGTACCTGTAGTGTATTAAAATGACCGAAAAATTTTTCTTAGTGCAATTTTTTGCTTTTTGAATAGAAAAGCTGATTCTTCGCACCTTTCTGCATAAAAAAGCTATCCTCTGAGTTTTCGTTAGTTAGCCGTTTTTGAGATATTTCGATTTTTAAGGTCGATGCATTTTTAATTATTTATGGGAAAAAATATTTTTTTTTTACGTTTTCGATTTGGGCATTACAAGTAATTAAGATGATCGTTTAGATTGTGTTTTTAAACACAGCAATAATTCCTAACTCCAACTAAACACAAAAAACAGAATATTAATTTGTTTAATTTTCCAATATTATTTTAACAAGTTAATTAATTATTTTCAACTAAAATGCTATTGGATAGTTAGGACAAACATACAAAATCTAAAGTAGTTGCTCGAAATGTAAACCCAATTGTTCAATCACAATTCACATCTACGAATGATCGAACGTGGTATAGCATTATTCAAATAAGGCCTTATTTCACACATGCATTCCTGATTCTGTCTATTAGCATATCTTGTGGTTACGGGAGTCTGGTACACTTTTTCTTTTAGAAATCCCCACACAAAGATTAGGTCAGGGGATCGTGGAGGCCAGGCGACTGGTCCTCCACGGCCGATCCATCTTCTGGATAATTTTCGTCCAGCCAGTTTCTAACTATTCTCGAATAATGAGCTGGACAACCAGCAAGCTGGAACCAGGCCAATCTTTCTTAAAACTAACAAAACATCATCCCACATATTCGCATGTTCAGCCCTTTAAAAATTCCAAGAAGGTCGAAGCATTTAACCTTGCAGGCAAAAGGTAGGGTCGAAATAGTCGATTACGGTAGATACCCATTCACACGTTCACACTAAATTCATGCTGTAAATTTCTTTCCCGAACTGCATGCGGATTTTCATGCGACCAAATATGTTGATTATGAAAATTTACCACTCCACGTCTAGTGAAGCATGACTCATCGGTCCATAAAACGTTACTTAAAAACTCCCTATTATTATCAGTTGTATCAAGAATCCACTTCCAAAACCATTTTCAATTATTTGGCGATGCACTCTTACAAATACTGAGCGAGTGTATGTCGTCTGTTTGGAAATCTTCGTGCGTATTCTCTGGCTGCTTCTGCTGCGTTT